GGGCCCAAGTATTTGGATCATCATCTGCTAGCTTGCCTGAAGCATTAGCAGGGAACTGAATGGGAAGCTGAGCACCTTGAACTCAAATTGACACCCAGATATGGGACACCATCTGCATTACAAGCATTGGCTTAACCCTCTATGCCATAATGCCTGCCCACAACACATGATTTTAGACAGTGACAAATGTTAGAAATAAAATATTCCATATTCTCTCACCCATACCTTTTCATTTCTCCTAATTTATTCATTTTCTTCCATTAAGTCCAGTCTTTATTGAGTGTTTACTGTGTTTTATCAAAGTGCAAGCTATGCATGGGGCTTACAATGAATCCAGACTTTGTTCCTACATCCTCAAGCTAGTGAAGGAAATAACTGAAATGAGTAGTGATCATGCACTATGGTAGATGTCTGAGAGAGGATGACCACAATGCTTTGAGAACACATATCAGGATTAGCTATCATCCCTCTCTCTAAGGCAGCAACTTCTCCTGTGCCTGGAACCTTCCCACCATGCCCCCTTTGCCTGGAACCCCTCTGTTCATCCTTCAGGACCTAACCTTAGCTGTCTTCTCTGAAGAATTTAGTACAGTTTCTAATGCATAGTTGGTACTCAAAAATATTTGTGTTTTCTTATTTTTATTTATTTTTGTAATAGAAGTATATTACATGGCAATATGAGGTTACCTCAATTTGCCCAAAAGATGGATGTTTATAAAAACAATTGGGACAATTTGCATTCCAGAATAAGAACAGCATTGAGATTATATGCTACTAAAAGCAAATGAGGGCCGGCGCCGCGGCTCACTAGGCTAATCCTCCGCCTAGCGGCGCCGGCACACCGGGTTCTAGTCCCGGTCGGGGCGCCGGATTCTGTCCCGGTTGCCCCTCTTCCAGGCCAGCCCTCTGCTGTGGCCAGGGAGTGCAGTGGAGGATGGCCCAGGTGCTTGGGCCCTGCACCCCATGGGAGACCAGGAAAAGCACCTGGCTCCTGGCTCCTGCCATCGGATCAGCGCGGTGCACTGGCCGCAGCACGCCGGCCGCGGCGGCCATTGGAGGGTGAACCAACGGCAAAGGAAGACCTTTCTCTCTCTGTCTCTCTCTCTCACTATCCACTCTGCCTGTCAAAAAAAAAAAAAAAAAAGCAAATGAATAAGCAAAACCCCTTTCTATGTGTAAATGAGCAAAAAAAAAAAAATACAGAATACATAGCAAGCTATTAATGGGGAGTGAGTGAGCAGTTTTAGTGGTCTGCATTTTAGTGCCAACAGAATCAAATGGGTGAATAAGAGCTGCTGATAATGATAAAATAGCGAGTGAGATAGTGAGTGTCCACTGACCCTTGAGGACTGAGTAACCATCCTGCTCAAAAACCGAACTGTTGGGGGCCGGCGCTGTGGCGTAGCAGGTAAAGCTGCTACCTGTAGTGCTGCCATCCCATATGGCCGTTGGTTCAAGTCCTGGCTGCTCCACTTCTGATCCAGCTCTATGCTATGGCCTGGGAAAACAATGGAAGATGGCCCAAGTCCTTGGGTCCCTGCACCCGTAAGGGAGACCCAGCGGAAGATTCTGGCTCCTTTCAGATTGGCACAGCTCCGGCCATTGAGGCCATCTGGGGAGTGAACCAGCAGATAGAAGACCCTTTTCTCCCTCTCTTTGGAAATTGAGTTACCTCCCCTCTCCACTCTGAATCTAGATGTCAAGTGGGGCTGCCATAGAGGGAAAACCAAACCCTAGGCTATGTCTAATACAGAAGCTTTCTTATGAGCTTGAATGGTGGCCAGACTTTGTCATGGGGCACCATGTAAACCTTGCTTGGGTCATTAGGAAAATTTAGGAACTATCTCAACATTGAAGAGAGACTTTGGAAAGTTAAAGTCCAAGCCCACAGATTACTTTGGGCTTCCATAACTTGTGACAAATCAGGACTGTGTGATATAAGACGACCTTTGAGAGTAGGAGAAGGTAAGTGCTTATCAAAGCCATAGAGACTCTGTAGGAGATTTTGTTCGTGGACCACACTGTATCCCACTTTTGAAAAGCAGAGCACAGGTGTAGCCTCACTCCTCCTTTGATTTTATGGTAGCTTTCCTCTTCTGTTATTTAATATCAACTTCCTATCATTTACTGATACTCAGACTTTATCCATTAAAGAAAAATCAATGAAGAGAAAGAAAGGGATGATTCAGAGGTAGTTGGGTGTTTAAGAAGTTCCTAGGTGCTCACTCACTACTGCCCATTTACATCTCTCCTTTCTCAGCAGTGTCACAAAGTATCAACCTGTATAGTTATCAGAATAAGCTTCATCTTGATTCATGTTTTCATTTATAAAACAAAAGGAAAAATGATACCTGACTTGGAGTTATTTTGAGGTTTAATGTCATAAATATTGCAAAATGCTTAGAACATTGCCTTGAATAGTGATCAATCATTAAAGTGTAGCTATAATTAATATCAATACTATTAATATTATTCAATTATCATCCCGCATTTAATTTGCTTTAATAAAGATGAGATATCTTAAGAATTTTGCTGCATGTGAGGAAATGCTAAGGTAAGAAATCACTAATATCAATAGTGCTTTGTGAAAGAAAATCTCACAAGCAGCACAAGTTCCCCTCTCTAGTCATTTGTACAGATAATGCAAAGAATTGTTCTATTAGCTGCCTCCCTGGGAACCTGAAGTGGTATGACAGCCTTGCATTGTTACTCATGTAGACAGACCCCTTTCATACCTTCTCTCAGGATAGCAAAAGCATCCTTTGCTCTTTCTCATCTCTTCTTATTCCCATCTCAGGTATCCTTACCCTCCATAACTGCAATTAAACTCTTCTGAACACGGGCTTAAAATGCACAGAGCTAACTATTCTGAAGCCCACTGGTCAAGATGGAGATGATTCAGCTTTATTTTCCAGGTTCCAGGATGTGCATTAGACTGTGAAGGGTAGAAGTTGACTAGAGAGAAGACTTGTATCACTTGAGTTATTTGAATATTCCTACAGCCTTTTTTGGCAGCTTACAAGGCAGCAAATTGTGCCTAGAACCAAAAAAATAGAGAAGATAATTAGTGAATATCATAATGGTGTAGAATGGCTGCTGTGGATTACAAACTTAAACACTGACTTTGGTTTACTCTCTTAGGCAAGCGTAGTTTTTATTCAGCTCAGTACAACAGTCAAGTGGTTATATGCATTTCTAGGTATTTTTCTGAGTATATTGTTGGCACCAGATACTTAACTGACATTAGAACTATAAAATCTGATTGCACTGTCAAAACCATTTCTTTTCTAATTACTGTACTAATGACTAGTAATAACTACGACTCATTCCTCTTGGAGTCAACAGATTTGCTTATAGAGTAGTGCATGGTTTAAATTATGAGCAATTAAGCTGTAGAATAAATAAGATTGGAGGAAGGAAACAGTAATCCTTGAGCGTGAAGGCACACAACTTGGAGACATTTCATTCAGTGCAATCAGTTGGAACTGTGTTTTTCATGAGCTTTTGTGAAATTGACAAAAAAGCCACATATCAATTTATTATTTGGTTTTGTTCTTAGTTGACACATTTCTACCATTGACATTAAGGTTTTTTCTTGTCATAATTCAGGTAGAGAAAATAAAGTGATTTCACAATAACAACAAATATGTAAACCTTGGCACTACATAGGACCCTGAATTCATTCTTTAAAATAACATCTATTTGGTGGAAATCTGCTTCATATACTATTTTAGGTATATTTGCAATTCTGATGTTATCATGTAGTCTTATTATGTATGCTCTCAATATAGTATACAAAACTGCAATGTTAAAAATGCTATTAATTTTCTCCTCACAATATTGTTGAGACTACTTTAAGATATAAATTCAGATAAAAGAATTTGTACACTAAAGGTTAAAAAATGGTCAAGTATCTGTGCTTAATGTTATTAGATTGTTGATAATAATTATGTAAGAATTGGCTAACAGAAATCTCTATGTCAGGTAAGTAAAAATAATAATTGCTACACTTAAATTTTATTTAAGAAACAGTCTTCATCTTTTGTTTTTCTTTTTTTCTTTTTTTCATTTTTGCTCTTATATATAAGGGAGAACTGCCATGTTTGTCTTTCTGTGTCCAGCTTATTTCATTCAACATGATGTCCTCCAGTTGCATCCATTTTGATGCAAATGGTACACTTTCACTCTTTTTGTATAGCTGAATAATACACATACATAACACAACACATTTTCTTTACGCATTCTTCTGATGATGGGCCTCTTGATTGATTCCATATTTTGACTATTGTGAACACTGTTGCTAAAAAAATGGTGGTGCAGTTACAAAAAAAAGAAAGAAATGCTATATCAGTATTGCTGAAATTTTGTCTACTGTGTTTTACATCTTTGCAAACTAATGGTTGAGAATGAGGTACTAGTATAAATTTAATGATCTGTGATTATTTTAAAATGTACTGTATATGAATGAAATGGACATCTTTTCAATTAATTATCATTTATATCCCTTGCCTATCTTTCCACTGAACTATGGCCTTTTTACTTGCTGAATTATCTATGTAGTAGAGCATTAAGCCTTTGACTATAATGTAAATTAAAAATGTTATCTCAAAAATTAAAAAGAGAAAGGAAGAAGGGAGGGAAGGAAGGAAGGAAAGATGGAAGGAGGGAAGGAAGGATGGGTGGAAGGAAGAGAGAGAGGGACAGGGAAGGAGGGAGTAATGTATCATTATATTAGAATTGTATCTATTAACCACATGGAATCTGTTCTCTTTGTACTAATAAAACATTAACATGAGAACTGATAAAAAAATATGTTGTAGTAACTATCATCCATTTGCTATAACCCTGAGAATCTATGAATACATTCCTTAAAAATAAAAAAAATATAAATTTAAAATTTACAATTAAAAATACTTTTTTTCAAAAATTAGCAAAGTATAGTTAATAATTTGAACTGTGACTTTTTGATGAGAAGTCATTTTTTCTGTTTAATGTTTCAGATGTACATCACCAACACAATCAAAGCCAAAGGTACCAGACTTGCTAAGCCAGTCTTATGCTTGGGATTAATGTGTTTGGCCTTTCTGACTGGACTCAACAGAGTAGCAGAATATAGAAATCACTGGTCAGATGTGATAGCAGGCTTTCTGGTTGGAATATCTATAGCAGTATTCCTGGTAAGTACAAATGGATTTAGATACTGGGTTTTCAATGAACGTGGTTAATAATAAGAAATGCAATTGTGAATCATTGGGTTTGTCTAAATGTGGACTAACAATTACTATATCAGGGGAATCCAAAAAGCTGTGGAAAAGCAGAGTTAAAAGATGTTTGTTTAGATGCCAAAAAAACCTTTTGAAATCCATCCATAATTCTTTGATAATAAGCATGTAAGTGGACATTTTGAGGACAACACACAAATACACACACACACACATACACACAAAATCTTCATTTTTTTCCTCCCATTTGTTCTGCTTAGAATCAGGTTTGGGGATAAAAAACAAAAAAAAAAGGAATGCATTCTACACTTAAACGTGAACGAAATGCTTCCATATAAAATGCAGCAGTGCTGAAAATACCGAGTCCTCTCTGGCTAGTTTTTAAGGCTGGAATGGTTGGATATTTAAAAAATTTCCTCAGGGCAGTTTGCATCTTGGAATATCTATATCATCCCAAACTAGCCTGCGGTCTCACCACTGTACTCCCCTGAGCCCCTGCCCCACAGCGCCCTCACCAGGTAAAGTTCCCATATGAGATGAACGTTTCGCCGTCACTAAAGTGCATTGATTGTTTCCAAGACAATATCATCTCAAATCATATTTTATCAGGTCATAAGCATACACAGCAACTTTTAATGCAGTAAACACGCCATCTATATTCCTGCTATAAAATATCCTTGGATACTCCCAGAGATTCTGGAAGTTGGAAAGTATATTTCAGTCTGACTAGGATTCATCAGTGCATTATATGTTTGGGTATATAACATTTTACTTAGATGGAAAAATGCATAAACTATAAATAAAAATGTATTTTGCATTGACATTATAATCTAAGAAATACTTTCTTTCCATTTGATTACATTGAAATTGCTTATCTTTTCTTCAGTCGCCTTTCAGTAAATGTCTTTGAAACATTTCAGTGACCACACGTTGGCACACATTTATGTACCACGCACATAGACTCTGTGTGGTAACCTGATGACTGCTCTCATCTGCTGGGCACCCTGTGCTTGTTTTCATGATGTCACTCCCTCTGATTCCTGAGGTCTGTGGGAGACGTAGGGCCAGTCTTCTCCCCCCGCCAGAGATACCCTACAGCATTATGAACACCAGGGTCAAGGCTTGAACCCAAATGTTTTCCTTGTTTCCATTCATCACAGTTGAAACTGGTTAACATTTTAGCAAAAACAAAATAAAAACACTCTGCATAAATCCTAAAAATTGTAGTCATTGGCAAGCCAGAGTACCTCGTGGTCAAAATGTCAAGGCACCGGTGTCAGGTGTGACTGCACTGAACACCACTGGTCCAGACATCTCCAGCATCACGTCAGGCTTCCTGCGGATCTTCTTGTGCCTGTTATCTTCTTGCCTCTTTCTCCAGTGCACATCTTAACTCCTTCCAAAACCAAAGTCAGGACCTTAGTGCTTTCCCACTCACAGTCTGAGAAACACATGGTGAATAATGATCTGACACCCTTCTATTGCAGAAATTCAGAACATTTCAAATTCACCCTTGAATTCACCCACGTACCCAGGAAAATTACCTCATGGGAAGATCACGAGAAAACAATGCTTTGTCTATGTAATAGCTAATAGTGCTGTTTCCTTCACAAGCACTTATGAGTATGAGCATGTACAAGTACCAGGCACGAACATGAACTAGATAGGCATAGTGGAGGCTCAGATATACATGATCAGTCTCTAAGGGAGATTAAAGTCTGATTTAGGGATCTGACAATAATAGATCATCAATTTAAATGCCTTTCTTCCATTGTAAAGTAAACATTTATTGAGACTGTTATAATCCAGGCACTGTGGTGCTGCACATAAATATCTGATAGTCCATGTACTTAAATAGAACACAATCTTTTTTTGGTTAAAAATTGAGTTTTACAGAGGGTTAAATATTATCCTAGAAATACTTACATTTATAATATCAACTCAGTTTGGATTAGGAACAAATCAGACAGAGCAGGTGATACATTGAGAGATTTGTGGAGCAGGTGGCTCTGGGCTGGAAGGAAGAACAAGGAGCAGAGTACCATGCATCATGGCAATATGAAATGCTTCATAAAATCCATATTGATGGAGTTCCCACTGTACTCAAGGCCTCAGGTGGTAGCTTGTGCATGGGAGCGCAGGGCATCATGGAATGGTACCATTTTTTCAGAACAAGTGAAAAGAGAGATGGAAAATGAGAGGAGAGGAAAAGCCTGAATGTCTTGTATCTCCTGAGAATAATTCAGACTTTTGTGGAGAAATGAATGTGAATCAGTCAGGCTTCAAGTGAGTAGAAAGAAAAAATCAACCTTGTTGAATCACAGCTTTTTTGTGTACTCAGTTTGTGCCGTTAAGCAGTTTACTTATTTTTGGAGGCTGATACAGCCTCCCTAAAGGATCATTGTAAGGATTTACAAAGGTTAAAGGAAAGAGGACGCGTTGGGTGAATGGCTGTCTGAATGATTGAAACAAGTTCCATAAAAGATAATGTATTTGCTCTCATTCCCTTTTACCCTATGATAAGATTTGTACTCTGAAAAAAAGTTTGATGTAAAGTAAAACTCCAGGTGATAATAAAGGAAGCGGGCTATTAAGGGAAATAAGATGGCACCAGTCAGACCTCAGTGGCATGAAGAGGGGAGACTGCCTAGGAAGGGCCTCAGAGATAGAAGGGTTGGAGTAGGAGGGCCCACTGGAGGCGAGGCAGACAAACCAGGGGGAGCAATCTACAGGACTTCCCGGGTTTCTCATTTGGACAACTCAGTGGAACATTCATTTTTGAACCATGACTCCAGCCCTGTCTTGCAGTATCCTCGGGTGTTTCCAATTATCTTGAAGTTTGGGCAGAATTCAACAACATTTCCAATTATTGCTATCCTGCCCAAAGAATCAGTGGCTCAGTTAAAGAATCCATACCCTCCAGCCACCTAGACTCTAGACCCAGAATGTAGCTTTGACTCATTCTTCTGGTTCATCCCCCACATGCAGTGATTCATCTGGTCCAAGTTCATTGCTACTACAAAAAAATACTTCTTTCTTGTCTTATTCATTTGCTCTTGTGACCATCAGTGCTCAATATAGATCATAATGTGTTTCATCTCTGCTATCTAGGTTGCTGGCTGTCTCCTCATTTCAAACTTTCCTCCAAATAACTTCCCTCCATTCTGCTTCTGTGCACATTATAACCATGCACTGCTAATGACACAACAGAAAACAAAATATTTTTTGTCCTGCATCAAATCCAGGCACTTCCGTTGGATTTCTTGGGTCCTCAATAGTCTGCACTCCAGTGAAGTTTGTTCTCCCCTCTTCAGCATGTACATAAATCCTGCACAATTTTCTTCCTCTTTCACAGACAAGCTCTGTCCTTCTGCACTTTGGCCTCTCTGTAGTCTACAGAGCAAAACAGGGAGCTGCACATCAGGAATTCTGGGTTTGAATCCTGCCTTTTCCACTTGTGGTGTATGACCTTGGACAAGCCACGTAACCCTTCAGTAATCCTAGAATATGGAGGCCTTCCCTGAACTCTATTGAAAACTGCCATTCCACTGCAAGGATTCCTTTCTTCAATCCTTGCATCACTTTTCTCCATAACACTTTTCAATCTTTTTTAAAAGGATTTATTTATTTATTTCAAACAGAGAGGCAGAGACAGAGATCTTCCATCCACTGGTTCACTCCCCAAATGTCCACAATGGCTGGTGATTAGCCAGTATGAATCAAGGAGCCAGGAGCAAGGAGCTTCTTCCAGGTCTCCCATGTGGGTACAGGGGCCCAAGCACTTGAACCATCTTCTACTGCTTTCTCAGGTGCAGTAGCAGGGAGCTAGATCAGAATTGCAGCAGCCAGGACTCGAACCGGTGCCCATATGGGATGCTGGCACTGTAGGCAGAGGCTTTACCACAGTGCCACAGTGCTGGCCCCCTTTTCAACCTTTGCTATTCCACATATAACATGTTTGCTCTGCTGTCACGCTTACTAGAGTGTAAGCTCCTTGTCCATTTTACATGTTCAGTACCTAGAACAGGGACTCTTACATAGGAAAGCCTGAGTCAGTACTTGATGAATGAATGAGAAACTGTTTACCTCTCAGAGCTCTTTGAAAGATTCAGTGAAACTCCAAGTATAGTAACTACACCCGAGTTTCTGGTTCAGAAAAGACACAGAGTATCTTGGGCATCACCGTTAACGACTGTATTCAGATCATTTATTCACTTGAGATTTGGCTCAAGCAAGTGCCCCTGATTCTCTGGTTCTCTGAATTCATACCACACTCTGAGTCTTTGCTATTACAATCTAATGAGGGATTTTATTGTATTCCATGTTTATCACTCTTACTTCTTGTGTACTTTGTTCAAGATTAGAAAGTAGAATTGTTGTGCTTAACTAAGAACAATAGTTGTCAATCAATATTACTTTATAAAAATGTATGTCTCAGAACACTTATGAAAATGATATACTTTACAGTGTCAGGCAGAATTTTTCAAGATTATTGAGCCACAAGAATAGCTTGTTATCTTATATACAACATATTAAGAATAATACATACCCATGTACTCTTTATGATGTTAACTCCATTAATTCTCACAACACCTCATTGAGATGTATTGTCCTCATTTTGCGTATTTTTTAAAATAAGCACCTGAGACCTACTTGTATTTAGTAGCTTGTCCACATTTGCAAAATTAGTACATGAGAACCCAGCAATGCCAAAGTCTATATACTTTGTCTCATGCAAGACTGATATTTCATTTCCACAAAGGAAGAGGAAAAATGAACACAAATCAATCAGATTCAATTATTATCACTACTGGATAATGAAAGCAAACTCTATGCAGTGAAGACTGATTAGTGTCATATTTGTAGGAGAAGTTAGAATTATACATGTGGAAGTCTTTAATATAAAAACAGAATGTTTCAAAGAACATTAACTTGAAAATATATAATCACATCAGAGCATTTCTGGCTTGGATCATGCTCATTCATGAATATCCACATGGCACTGGAAATATAGAAGTAATCAAAATAGGGATAGCATCTCTATGTTTGTGGAGCATACCACCTTGGAAGAAACATGTCAATCAAAGTGATTCTCTGACCATCGCAGAATTTCCTATTGAAAAGATACTTTTGTAAAAGGAATCACAGCTCTGCATGTAGACAAAGCCATGGGTCACAAGTGGCTCTTGTGAGTGAGTGGAGCTGACATCAGATACCATGGCTGAGTTAGGTACAGTATTCAAACATGATGGAGATGAGGCATATTTCAAACAATAGGAAGTGAAGGGTAATAGAAGGTATTTCCAAAACTGAGGGCTATGAAGTTGGTCAGAGTTTAACAACACATTAGGGAAATGGAAAAGAAAACCACTAGATGCCATAATCCAGCTTGCATGTGGAAAGATCATTGTCACATCATTGTAAAATTAGGTTGGAGGGGCCCTAGACTGGGTTTAGGAAGACAGTTTAGAAAGCTGTCCAAGAATCCAGGCAAGAGGTAGAGGTGTCTTAATCTTTGGAATTGGTGCTGGACAAAGAATGAAGAAGGCATAAGAAATCAGGAGTTTTAGGAGGTATCCAGCATGTTGAGTATAAGACATATAAAGGATAAATATAACCTTCTATCACTGTACAACTGCAAGGTGACTGTGAGTGTGTGGACTGTTGGCTCTTTCCCTGAGACATTCTAGAAAAATATCAAATATGGAGTGGGGTCAAGAGATGGGCAAATATTGAATTTAGCTTTGAATGGTTGCTGAATTTGTCAAGACTTTGTCAGCTAAAGAAATTGAGTTAACTTAGTGATCTGTTGAGATCTCTTCACTTTCAAGTTGAGAATACTGAGATACAGAGACCTTCCAAGAATATTTATACTCAGGCATGCTCAGGATCATAAGCCAGGTCACTTGCTTTTTCTTATCATTTTTATTAATAAGAAATCAACTCCATACATGTAAATGTTAGCAGCAAGGATTTGCTAAATATTTATTTTTCTTTTTTTAATTCTTTTTTTTAACTTTTATTTAATGAATATAAATTTCCAAAGTACATCTTATGGGTTACAATGGCTTCCCCCCCATAACGTCCCTCCCACCCACAACCCTCCCCTTTCCCACTCCCTCTCCCCTTCCAAATATTACTCTAAAGAATATTTTGTAATGTCCTTTCTTATAATCTAAATTGTAAGGGTAATTAAGATTAAACTGTTACCTTTTAATATATATCTACTATATGTTAAGCATTTAATGCATTTCAGTTATGAATTCTGAGCTGTTTCAGTGGAATTTCCTAGATCTTTAATTAAGGAAAAGAGATAGTCACAACACCCTTTGCAAGAGTTTTCCAAACATAAATATTCACTTTAGATGACTTCATGTCATGAGTACCAAATGTCTATGAGCATATGTATTTTGTTTCAAAAATTATATTTCAGAAGAATTATCAGCCATTTTTATCCAACCAATTTCCAAATATAGTATAACATGTGTGTATATTTAATGGAATAGATGTGAAAATGCTGTTTGCTACTGTTGTTAGTAAAATTCTTGATTATATATTATATCTTTTGTTCTTTAGATTAGTGGTCAGCCAGCAAATTAAAGTCTACAGACCAAATTTGGCGTGCCACCTATTTTTGTAAAGAAAGTTGCATAGAATATTGACATTCCTGCTCATTATAAACTGTCAGTGGCTACTTCTGTACAAAAAGAGCAGAGTTGAATAATTGATGTAGAGAATATAAGCCCACAAAGCCAAAAGTATCTCCTGTCTTCTTTTACAGACAACATTTGTTGACCTTATCGCCAAAATAATCAGCATCTACTAGTACTGGTCCTCTGTGGGCTCATGAAGATAGAAGCATCACTTGGTTGTAGGTTCATCAAGTACACATCTCAGATCTCTTACCATCCCTTACTTTAGAGATCTTCAATAGCGTCTGTAGAGATATCAAATTATAACACTTTGATCTGTTTGTAGCATATAATTATTCCCAATGTGGAAGGATAAGAGAAATATGTAACAAATTGGAAGGAAATGTATTTTTCTGACATAAAGTCTTTTCTGTGAATGACACGAATCCATGAGAGAGAAGTAACACATTAGAAGAAGGAATAAAACTTCTTGAGATGCTGCAATAAGACACAATTAATTAATTATTAATGAGTCCTATAAAGAAAAGGTTTTCCAAGGGAGAATTTGTGAAATTATACAATGTAAATATATTATTATACATGAAACATTTAGTAAAAATGAATAAGTTACAAGTGCAAGTAAGGTCTGCATTTTAATTTATAATAAATATAGTGTCATTTGCAACAAAATAGAGGAATCTGGAAAACATCATGCTGAGTGAATTAAGCCAGTACCAAAGGGACAAATATCATATGTTCTCCCTGATCCGTGACAACTAACCAAGCACCAGAAAGGAAACCTGTTGTAATGAAATGGACACTATGAGAAACAGTGACTTGATCAGCCCTTGTCCTGACTGTTGATGTACAATTTAATACTTTATCCCTTTTAGTATTTTTTTTTGTTCTAGTTAATACTATTGGTTGAACTCTGTAATTAACACACAGTTATTCTTAGGTGTTTAAATTTAACTGAAAAGTGATCCCTGTTAAATATAAGAGTGGGAATAAGAGATGGAAGAGATGTATAATTTGGGACATGTTCAAGCTGACTTGCCCCAAATGGTGGAGTTAGAAATGTGCCAGGGGATTCCAATACAATCCCATCAAGGTTGCATGTACCAATGCCATCTCACTAGTCCAAGTGATCAGTTTCAGTTCACAATTGATCACACTGATAGGTCTAAGAATCAAAGATATCATACAAACAAGACTAGTATCTGCTAATACTAACTGATAGAATAAAAAAGGGAGAGAATGATCCAACATGGGAAGCTGTATACACAGCAGACTCATAGAATGACAGATGTCCTAAACAGCACTCTGGCCTCAGAATCAGCCCTTAAGGCATGCGGATCTGGCTGAAGAGCCCATGAGAGTATTTTAGGCATGGAAAGTCAAGACACTCTGGCAAAAAAAAAAAAAAAAAACCAACCTAAATGAAAGATCTCTGCGAGTGAAATCCCAGTGGAAAGAACGGGCCATCAAAGAAGGAGGTAGCTTTCTCTGAAGGGAGGAGAGAACTTCCACTTTGACTATGACCTTGTCTGAATAAGATCGAAGTTGGCGAACTCAAAAGGCTTCCATAGCCTTGGCAACTCATGACAAGAGCCTAGGGAGATTACTGACACCATAAACAAGAGTTTTAAATTGTTAAGTCAACAACAGGAGTCACTGTGTACTTACTCCTCATGTAGGATCTCTGTCCTTAATGTGTTGTCCAATGTGAAGTAATGCTATAACTAGTACTGAAACAGTATTTCACACTTTATGTTCTGTGTGGGTGCTAACTGATGAAATCTTTACTTAATATATACTAAATCAATCTTCTGTATATAAAGATAATTGAAAATGAATCTTGATGTGAATGGAATAGGAGAGGGAGCAGGAGATGGGAGAAGTGCGAGCAGGAGGGAAGTTATGGGGGGGGGGAGCCATTGTAACCCATAAACTGTACTTTGAAAATTTACATTCATTAAATAAAAGTTAAAAAATAAATATAAAATCTAAAAAAAGAAAACTAAAGAATACTCACAAAGAACAGCAAGTTGTTTTCTTGTGTTGGTTATTCTTATTTCTTAAAATATGATTCACCTGCATCAGAAATTTCTGGAATGTGTTTTGAAAGTGTCAACTCTTAGGTCCCCATATTTCATCTGAAATAGAATATTTGAGGGAGGGCTTAAGAGTGAACATTTTTTAATAATACAAGAACTTTATTTTAAAATATACTAAAGAATGTGAACCTCTGGTTTAGTTTAAATTCTTTCATTTATGGGATATAATCAATTAAAACCCAGGGTCAATTTTCTTTGTGAAAAGGGTCTTCTATTTCATCAGTAGCCCCAATGAGCTATTGTTGAAATGTCAACTATACATGGGACACAATAATAAACAATAAACCAAGCTAATTGAAGTGATGCTGCTAAGTTTGAAGTGCCAATTATAGAGTTTATTATGAATGTAATAATCTTAAAGCAATGGAAAATAATTAGCATTTAAATTAAGTTGAGGTTAGCCACATCAGGGAAAGGTTAGTTTTCTATGAATTTTTATAAGGTTATGGTGTTATTTTAAGACTGATTTCAGTATTAACTATGCTTCAGTGGAAATTTTGGAATAATAGTATTTTTTGTCATTGGTGGATTTTCTTGAATGGATGTGTATTGGAGTAGCTATTGAAATTTACACAATATAAATAGAGATATAAAGTTATATCCATGTATTATTTAAACAAATTTAACACTTTATTACTTTATTTAGATTTATTAAGCTACTGAAAAGGGTGATAGTAATGAAAACAGTAGTTTTACTTTAACTGTAATTGTTTTCTGAAATTTCAGGTTGTGTGTGTGGTAAATAATTTCAAAGGAAGACAGCCAGAAAGTGAGCATATCCACATGGACAATCTGGGACAGATGCCAATGATCAGCATTCCTCGGGTAGAAAGTCCTTTGGAAAAGGTAACATCTGTACAGGTGATTCATAATTTAAATTCTGAGTTGTGATTCTTACATAGAGCAGATGAATATTTATACCTGTGTGTTTATCTGGAGAGTACCCTGTCCTGTTATGGTTGACTTCCTGAGCCTCAGAGTCTAAAGTGGCATTTAGCAAGAAGTTTGTCACTGAATGGGTAATCTTACAAAAGTGTATACCTTGCTTAAAATATCTCTTTGTATCCATCATGCAAAAAGCTGAATACCTTTACTTGGATTCACTCTGTATTGTGCCATAGCCATAGCCTTTAAATAAGGAACACTGTACACTGGTCTCATGTGTAGGAACAAAGTAGCAAGATGGTTGGGAATGTATTGCAGTTTTCATACAATCTGTTTCATTTGTTCTATGTGCTGTTTTGGTGGATAAATGCTGAGTACAATGCCTGGCACAGAATTGAGGCTCTATTAATATCTGTTGAAAACAAACGAATATCTGACAGCAGCAAAATGTCAATCAAGCTCTCCTGATCAGGGACCAAAGATGAGATTGGGCTGAATGCAGCCAGATCACATAGCACTTTGAGTGACAGGCTGAGGCCTCAGTGGCCATGGTGTTATAATAACTCTCCTTGAGACTTTTTTGAAGCAGTTAGGGTGGTACTTCCAAATGTTGATGCAGGTATGTGGATTTATGACTAGGTACATGACCCCATGGAGATTTCTTAGTGGTTGCTTCTTGGGACAGATAAACTTTAGTCTTTTAATCAGGATCATTTTTGATAAGAATCTTAGATGAAGAATCCAGTCACAGGTTAATCGAATCTGTGGATGACGTGAATCCATGAGGGAGAAGTAATATGTTGGATGAAAGAGTGAAACTTCTTGAGACTGCAACAAACTACAATTAATTGAATAGGAAGAAAGGAAAAGTTTTATACTTGCATTTTTAAAAGTTTATGCTTAGGGTAGGGTGTATCTAGGATAGCTGCACAAGCAAAATAAGCTTAGGGTGTAGTAGGCTACAGTTCGGCCTTTGGTGAAGGCATGATAGTGCTGCTAAAATAGTTTATGGGATCTGATGTCTCACCTAGAGAAAATGATACCTGACAGGGAACTGATGGTTGGCTCTGTTCAGCTTTGCTCAGACCATCTTGAATTTTGTGTACTGCCTGTGACAACACTGTTTTAATATGGATATTAATAAAATCAGATAGTTGACACTCAATAAGCAGATTTTAAAAGAGTGAAAGAATAATATGTCCAGGATAATGAGTGGACTTAAGTCTTGGATGATAAAGGACTATTAGAAGAACAGAAACTGGTTAGTCTAGAGTCAAAGAGAGCACAGGGAGGAAGAAACACCTTCTTATAAGTATCTGAAAGCACATTGTGTGAAATAGGGATAATATTTGTTCTGGGGGGACTCAAGACTCAAGGAAAATGAGATTAAGAACATAAATATGGGCCAGCGCTGTGGCATAGTGAGTAAAGCCGCTGCCTACAGTGCTGGAATATTATATGGGCACTGGTTCGAGTTCCGGCTGCTCTACTTCTGATCCAGCTTTCTGCAGTGGCCTAGGAAAGCAGTAGAAGATGGCCTGAGTCCTTGGGCCCCTGTACCTATGTGGGAGACCTGGAAGAAGCTCCTGGCTTCTGGCTTCAGATTGGTACTCTGGCCATTGTGACCATCTGGGGAGTGAACCAGTGGATGGAAGTCCTCTCTCTCTTTCTCTCTTTCTCTCTGCTTCTGCCTCTCTGTAACTCTGCCTTTCAAATATAACTTTTAAAAAAGGATAAATAATGGCTATAGAGAAGAAAAACTTTTTTTACAAAAAGGTTTATTTTATTTTTTTGAAAGAGTTACAGAGAGAGAGGTCTTTCACCCGCTGGTTCACTCCCCAGATGGCCACAATGGCCGGAGCTGTGCCAATCTGAAGCCAGGAGCCAGGAGCTTCTTCCGGGTCTCCCACGTGGGTGCAGGGGCCCAAGGACTTGGGCCACCTTCTACTGCTTTCCCAGGCCATAGCAGAGAGCTATGAAGAGGAAGCAGGAGCAGCCAGGACTAGAACCGGCGCCCATATGGGATGCCGGCACTTCAGGCTAGGGCTTTAACCCACTGCGCCACTGCGCCAGCCCCTGAAAAAGCTTTTTGAAAATGGATGGCAGCCTTAGAGATCAAGTTTTCTTTTACTATAGGAATTTCAGAATAGAAGAATAATCAATTATCTGTGATACTGTAAAGGGAATTAGAGCATTCAAGTGAGGACAGAGATACTAAATATCACTATTATTATTATTATTGTGCTACTGATATTAACGGCACTTATTATTTACTTATTTATTTGAGAGATGAGAGACAGACAGAGATCTTCCTTTGGTTGGTTTGCTCCCCAAGTGCTTGCAACATCTGTGACTGAGTCAAGCCAAAGCCAGGAGTCTGGAACGCAGTCCAGGTCTCCTGCATGTATGATATAGACCCAAGTACTTGAGCCATCAGCTGCCATCTCTCAGAGCTGGAAGCTGGAGTTGGAAGTTGAGCTGGGACTCGAATCCAGCATTCCTGTATGGAATGTGGGCATCCCAGGCTGCTTCTTAGCCATTTTCCCAAATGCCAATTCCATAATGATTGGCATTTCATGGCCTTCAGTATACATCAAGAACCATGCTGATGGTTTATATAAACTCCACAGAACACTTCTGGGCTTCAGAATATAGTTTCAGTAATCACAGTTTTCAAAGCTGGGTCTCATTATGGAGGCAAAGAGTGATAGTCAATGAATATCACTTCTCCTGTTTTTCTTTTTAGTAACTAAATCTCTAATTGTAGCTAATTGTAGCTACATCAGTGACTGACAGCTACAATCTATATGTTCTAACTTCCCTCCCAGTAGACATGACCCATGTGACCAACTTTAGATCAATGAAATGTGAGTAGAATAAATAAGTGCAACCTTGTTTGTATCTCACTGAGAACTCTTAAAAAAGATTTATTTATTTATTTGAAAGTCAGAATTACAGAGAGGTAGAGGCAGAGAGAGGTCTTTCGTCTGCTGGATCACTCCCCAGTTTGCCACAACAGCCAGAGCTGCGCCAATCTGAAGCCAAGAACCCAAGAACTGGGAGCTTCTTCCTGGTCTCCCACACAGGTACAGGGTCCCAAGGACTTGGCCATCTTCTACTGCCTTCCCAGGCCATAGCAGAGAGCTGGATTGGAAGTGGAGCAGCTGGGACTCCAACCAGTGCCAATGTGGGATGCTGGCACTGTAGGTGGCGGCTTTATCTGCTATGCCACAGTTCTGGCCCTTCACTGAGGGCTCTTGGTTTGTACATTCTACCCTGTTCTCTTCAAATGGAAAAAGTTATGGCTGGGAGCCAACACTGCAGGTAGCAGGTGAAGTCCTTGCCATTTCATATGGACACTGGTTCGTGTCCCAGCTGCTAAACTTTCTACCCAGCTCCCCGTAATGGCCTGGGAAAAGTAGTGGAAGATGGCCCAAATGCTTGGGCCCCTGAAATCCATGTGGGAGAACCTGTTGATCCTTGTTCTGACTATATGGGGAATAAACTAGTGGATGGAAGATTTTTCTCTTTCTGTATCTCCCCCTTCTCTCTCTAACTCTAACTTTCAAATAAATAAATAAATCTTTTTAAAACATAAAGATAACAGCTCAAGCAAGCTTCTAAGATCCTTTGCAAGGTAACTCATCTACCCTGGCTGCATGGGTCCTCGGATGCGCTTGTAGACCCGAGTACACAGATTCACCTTAGATGCTTCTGAGGCAAAAATGAACTATGTTAACTGTTGACCATTAAGTTGTTCTGATTTCTTTTCTACAGTCACTTAGTTGATGTCCTATTACAACAAATTTCCCCATTTGTCGTTAAGATAATGGAACCTCCAGGTGGTTAAGTAATTTGCAGAAGTGCAAGTCATGCATAAGCAGCAGAAAAAAATTATGCAACAAATTGTTCTGAGATACATACCTATGTGAAAAAATATGTTTTAAAAGACAAGGGGGCCTGCGCCGTGGCTTACTTCGCTAATCCTCCACCTGCGGCGCCAGCATTCCATATGGGCACTGGGTTCTAGTCCCGGTTGCTCCTCTTCCAGTCCAGCTCTCTGCTGTGGCCTGGGAGGGCAGTGGAGGATGGCCCAAGTGCTTGGGCCCTGCACCCCATGGGAGACCAAGAAGAAGTACCTGGCTCCTGGCTTCGGATCTGCGCAGTGCCGGCTGTAGCGGCCATTTGGAGGGTGAACCAATGGAAAAGGAAGACCTTTCTCTCTATCTCTCTCTCACTGCCTAACTCTGCTTGTCAAAAAAAAAAAAAAAAAAAAAAAAGACTCAACAGTATATAAAAATTAGATCTCGTTAAACATAATAAACATAGAAAGCAATGCAGTCTAGTAGAAGATCTTAAACATGCTTTATAGAAAATGATCAGGGTAATAATTAGTCTTTTCATTTGTATGTTTCTGAAACTAACTTGAATAATAATTACAGTCTTCTGCTTTTTAACCATTTTTACTTGGCAGTTGTCTAGTAGTTTCATAGCATTATAATCTTATCTATGACTACATCATTTTCTATATTAAGCGATTAAGAAATTATAATTGTGGGTTTATTGCTGATTCATTTTTATTTGCAGTGAGTATTAAAATATTAGATGAATGGGGCCGGTGTTATAGTGCATCAGGTTAAGCCACTGCCTGTGACACCAGCATCCCATATGAGCCCTGGTTCAAGTCCCAGCTGCTCCATTTCTAGTTCAGCTCTCTGATAATGTGTCTGAGTAAACAGAAGATGGCCCAGGTACTTGGATCCCTGGCACCCATGTAGGAAATCTGAAAGGAGTTCCAGGATCCTGGCTTTGGCCTGGCCAGTTCTGGCCATTGAGACCATTTGGGGAGTGAGCCAGTATATGGAAAATTTTTCTTCCTCTGTCCTTCCCATTCTCTCTGCTTTGTGCCTTTCAAATAAATAAAATAAATCTTTTTAAGAAGTATTAGATAGTAAAAGTGAAATATTCTATTAAAA